TGTTGTTGTTGGTGTTGCTGTTGTTGCTGCTGTTGTTGTTGTTGTCGTGGTTGTTGTTGTTGTTCTTCTTCTTCTTCTCCTCCTCCTACTATTATTATTTTTATTGTTATCATTCTTCTTCTTCTTGTTGCTGTTGTTGTTGTGTTGCTGTTGTTGTTAGATGTCGTAGTCTGAAGTAGTAGTTTACAAGTAGTAGTGAGAAGTACTTCCTACGCGCGTATTATGTAGAAGTACTTAGGACATGGTATGTGGTACGTCGCAGTTGTTATCGCTGTAGAAGGATATGAAGCAACGGGGGTGGTGTTGGTGGTGGTGGTGGCGGTTTACGAACTGAACAGCCAAGTTCCAGACGATGGCAATGCTGAACGCCAAAATGCAACACTCAACTGAAAGTCAAAGTCGCACAGCCGCCGTCATAAACCATCCTTGAACCATCAGAAGACCTCACATGTCCTGTCCAAAAGCAGATCCCGCAAGCATGTCCGCAGAGTCAACAAATACGCTGAGACATGCACACGAGCAGAGAAGGCTCCTTTCGCTCTGATGGCCACAGGGTGTGCTTGCATAGTGCAACCTTTGTTGACCGGCGTTGTCGACCGCCCGGTGAGCAGCGCTTCGTAGTAGAGAACTGCCAGGACAAGTCGAAACACAAGATTCCTAAATTCCTAAAGAGCTGGAACCTTAAATGCACCTGCAACGGAGGAATGGTACTGTAGAGGCCTTAATACTTAGAATAGTGTTTTGGGGGCACTTCATGTAATATAGTTATACTTAATAAGGAACCCTAACGTACAAGATTGGTAATTACTTAGGCCCCTATATCAGACTGCCAGTCCAAATACAAATCCATTCAGGGGGCCACATCCTGATCCCCCAGTGATAGCAGTAGAAGCCCAAAAGTTGGAAACCCAATAGCCTCAGTCCTTAAGAGTAATGTATAGGGAATCCCAGAACTATTCGACCTTAATCCGGTTTCCAACTTTTTTGGGTTTCCACCTATACTCTATACCCTAAACCCTAGAGTCACATCTTGATCCCCCAATGGCAAAAATGAGCCAGAAATGGCCCCCAGAGTACCGAATGACTCCGTAACTCTGCAGGTGCTAAGCCACCCTAAGGGTCCATGTACCCAAATAGTATATACTTTGGCCTTAAGGTAGTCCCTATATAGGTACTTTGGTGCCAATGTATATGCTATTTGAGTACATGGACCCTTAGGGCCAATGAAGGTAAATCCAGCTTCGGCTGTAGGGCTTATACGGTTTAGGGTTTAGGGCTTACAGGTTTTACAGGGTTTAGGGTTTAGGGTTTAGGGCTTGCAGGTTTTACAGGGTTTAGGGTTTAGGGTTTAGGGCCTGCAGGTTTTACAGGGTTTAGGGTTTAGGGTTTAGGGCTTACAGGTTTTACAGGGTTTTATGGGGTTTAGGGTTTAATTGTAGGGGTTCTCCACAACCCTGAAACCTCAACCCACCCATCCTTCGTTGCGGTGGCTGCTGTTGTGGACCCGAGCCATGTGCTGCGGTTCGTCCCGCATATCCGGATAGATACTCCACTGGAGTTTTGGGTTTTGGGATTTAGGAAAGGATGCCTCTCTCACAGCTTTAAGGCTTACGACCTATATAAAAGAAATAGGATCTACAGAGTTTGAGGGTTTAGGATGCGTCTGATTTCAAAGGTACAAATAATGACAATAATCTGAATGAGGATGTAGTGCGCGCCTGCCTTGTGTTCGGCTTAGTCAGGCCTGTTTCTGCTTTTCTCCTCTGGTTCATACGACTGGGGTTGAGGTTTGGGATCAGCTTGAGAAGGATCACACCTTACCCGAAGGCTCTTGTTGCTGTTATGGGCTTTCTAGGGGAAGGTTTGGGCTTTGGGGGCTAAGGCTTGGGCTTTCACTATGGGGGTCCATGAGCCTTAGGGTAGTAGGCAGGGTATGAGACGGGTCAACAAGTAATTCACGTTAAGTATAACGTAGGTCGCTCATGAAGGGCCTTAGCATTACGATCCCCATCTAGGTTCCTGAGCGACCCCTTAATAACAAGGGTACCCTTTTTCCCATTATTCAGTTTTAATAAGGGGGCATACGATAAGTATAAGGTAGATCGAGGTTTCGCTAACCGGGGCCTACGTTAGGTCGCCTGAATAAAGAACCTATTTTTTTCAGGTGCTTTTGATCGCCCCCTGAACCCTAAACCCTCAACCCTAAACCCCAAACCTCCCTTTCCACAAGAAGGACCTCTGCGGAGAGACGGCAGTTTGGAATTCGGGTTTAGGGTTTAGGGTTTAGGGGTTTGGAATTCGGGTTTAGGGTTTAGGGGTTAGGGTTTAGGGATGGTTTAGGGTTTAGGGTTTAGGGTCTAGGGCTTAGGGTTTGGGGTTTGGGGTTTAGGGTTTATAGGGTTTAGAGATGTTGTGAACTGCTTCATCAAGTAACGCAGCAGATGGCCGTGAGATGTCGGATCCAGCCAAAAACAATGACACAACGCTGCAATCATGTGCTGCAGCGCCGAATTCAAGCAGGAGATACAGGCTCAAGCTTGCAGCTCGTACTTGACACGCGCGAATTCGCGGCCTGTAGCTTTCCGCGACAGACGCAGATGTAGGGGGCTTCTTCTACAGCAAGGGGTCTATCAGGGGCCACAATTAATGATAAAGCTCCGGCTCTTTATGAACCTACTAGAATCTAGAGCCATGCTCAGCAACCCTCGGGATTCCGAAGCCGCCATGTGACAGCCAGCACCCTAGGGGTCCAAGTATTTAATGATCGTATACTCTCCCTGATAATAACCAACTCATAACTAGTATCCGGAACCTAAGTACCTAACTGGGTTGTAGTTTGGGGGCCCTGAAAAGTATTTATGAATAGGTACCTCTATAGAGAGACCATGAGGGAAATATAAAAGTTTCCCAAATTGCCACCTAGCTAATTATTGCGTCCTTTGGACCCTTAGGGACACATCTTTACACCATGAATCCTCAGGGCAACGTCGCTTCAACTGCGAGGCTCTCTGCAGCGCGGAGTTCGGGTTGTACGTAGCACTTGGCCGACCTAGGCAGGGTTGGGTTTACGGTTTAGGGTTGAGGGTTCAGGGTTAGTGTTTAGGGTTTAGGGTTTAGGGTTTAGGGCTTCGGGTTTAGGGGTTTAGGGGTGGTTTAGGGTTAGGGTTTAGGGTTAAGGGTTAATGGTTTGGGGTATAAGGGTTCCTCTAAGCCTTCCCATAAGGCTACCTACATAAGGGTACCTATAAGGTTTCTGTAAGGGTTTAGGACGTATGGCTTTAGGGGTCGGGGATCGATTCGGTGGATTTAGGGGTAAACTGCGCTAAGGTTACGGTTACGGGCGCAGAGGACACACAAATTGGGTACTTAGGTTTCGGGTAGATAGTTATGTAGGTGACTATTTGGGAGAGTCTAGGAACTACTATCGGCACTTGGGGCCGTACTGAAAGGTTCCCTGGCTTGTAACCCAAGTTACAAATGCTGTAACCAGGGTTACAAACCCTACAACCTGGGTTACAAGTTTACTAACTTTGGATAAGTGTCAGGGGACTTGGACGAGTTACAAGTTAACTTATAAACAAGACACGAAAAAAGTAACCATACTTATTTCATACTTATCTAT